GTCCGACCACTCCCTCAGACATTAGTAGTCCGCGGTGAGTGCCAAGCAGTGGCTGCCCGTTCATACGGCAGACATGATTTTCTACTTAGCACAAGCAGAAGAGGCAGTCATCGACGTCTCGCCGAGTGGAACCCATAACCCATCTTCCCGACCCTCTTTCCCATATGCAGGATCCACGGGTCCCGTGGGACGGGAACGGGGCAACCGTCTTTCCCGGATTTAGCTTTTTACCCATGATCTTCCGAATCAAATTGATAGATCGGTCCGTGACCCATTCGGGGTTCGATCAGTACGTACTTACACCCAACTCGCGTGAAATGATTTGATTGATCCAATCGGATGCTACCAAGAAACACGTCACGAAGAATAAATACGAAAATGATTTAACCCTCCAAGTCTTGCGCATACGTTTTCATTTACAACGACAAGTTTCGTATGATAGATGCGCTCTTGACATATACCCGTGAAAGATACAAATCCACGGATCTGCCGTAGAAATTGCCACAATCCGAGTAACTCGATGCAGACTTAACGTCCCTCGGCTGAGACCGTGTTCATTTGTTGTCCACGCGAGACCCTCGACGTCTTCGTGCAACCTAATCCACCTGAGTCGGGCCACCGCCGCGTCGCACGTTCCTCGAACGATCGCCCGAGATTTATCTTCTTGAAATATTTTCCCCGAGAGTCGCGTTCCACGACGCCTGGAACGGTGCCACTCACGCACTCACACGCTTTTTAACACCGACACCATCGTTTGCACGCGCTCACAACCCCGTCCCTGCATTTACGTGCGCAGCATTCCAGCAGGTACTTCCTGCCGGATAGCTGCCGCTGATAAACTGACGTGTAAATATGTCGACGATTTTGCATCGGACGTATCTCAAGGCGTGGCTACCAGTAGACCACCGTTTGAGGCTAAATTAAATTATAAAAGCTGGCCATCTCTCGTGCAGGCCCAGACTCGGAAACATGCACCCTGATAAGCTCCTCTTATGAGGTATCATTTGTCCAACGTTGTACTGTACTTCGTTGTGACGCTCACAGGACTGTGTCACATTTTTTAATAATAAAACTGGGCAATGTCTAAAACGTTCTTACATTATGCAAATTTAATTAAAATTTTTGGTGCAATCATGTAGATATTATTTATAATGTAATTTTTTCTATTTTTATAGATTAAGATTTTTCTATGCTTTATGAACACTCATTAAATTTGCTATGATAGATTAGGCCAGTAAGTCTGAAGTTTCACTTACGTCATTTCGTACAAGATATACATGTATGAATTGATGTTATCAATCAATATATAAGACGTCCGAGCATTAATTCGATTAGTTTGATGTTCTGCTTAATGTTCAACGAACTGTCGTTATCAGTTTCTGTACTTTCTGTTGATCTTTAGCTCGCAAAAGTCTCGGCACTGAGTAGAAAGTTACTTAATCTTCTTATTACGCTTACCCTCGACTATGCTCGACGCCGCCTTAACTTCGTATACTAATATTTCACCGTACGTACATATATTCGGGAAATGTAGCAGCAAATATTGGAAGCTGTGTTCTAAATTGGATTTGCTACAAGTTGTTTAATATATTCCGTATTAGATATTCTGCGGAAAATTGATTACTTCAATCCGATAATTTCCTGTTTCAATTAAATAAACTTTGTTCTTGAGTACCGACACATTTCAGGTATTTAATTTAAGCAAGTTTTACGATTTTTGAAGTAGTATTTTGTGTTTCACATTCACGAAAAAGTAATTAAGAAAATTATGAGAATATGTTAAAAATCGTTTATATAAGAATTCACTGACCTATAAATATTTAGAGAAAATATTTGATTCGATTCAATGAATTCAGTTTGTGCTACTTCTTTTTCGCTTGTTATATTGTTATGATCTGCAATAAACCGTGAGAAGTTATACGAGTTTATTCTAACAATAAGGCGAAGTTATTTGTTTGAATTCCGGTTTTCGAAATATTGATTGAGAAACTTTGCCGATCAACGTACCCCGTACAATATAACACAGGAAAGTAGGTCTCGACGCCTTAGGAGCTTCGGACATGGCGCAGTAGTAAATGTCCATCTAAAGTCAGACTCATTTCCCGAGTTCGAAAGATTTCGCGGAGGAGCTAAGATGTCGTTACTTACTTTCAGGTTTAAAAGTTAAAGAAGAAGTTGAAGATTGTGTCGTACGTTCTCCTGGAGTTTATTTCTGTCTCCCAAATGTGAAAGGCAGTTTCTAAGTTCTGAGTGAAATTAGTTTTCCTAGAAATAAGCTACCAATTTTGAAGTTTAAGCGAGAAGCTATAGTTTCCTTCATTTAAATTGTTTTATTACTGCTTAGTAATTTTAGTGAATCTAGTTTTATATTAAATCATTTACTCCTATATAAAGATTCTTTATAATCTTATAGAGAAGATTAAAAAACCTGTGGAAAATTAATTTAAAGTTATTAATTTAAGCAAGTTTTACGATTTTTGAAGTAGTATTTTGTGTTTCACATTCACGAAAAAGTAATTAAGAAAATTATGAGAATATGTTAAAAATCGTTTATATAAGAATTCACTGACCTATAAATATTTAGAGAAAATATTTGATTCGATTCAATGAATTCAGTTTGTGCTACTTCTTTTTCGCTTGTTATATTGTTATGATCTGCAATAAACCGTGAGAAGTTATACGAGTTTATTCTAACAATAAGGCGAAGTTATTTGTTTGAATTCCGGTTTTCGAAATATTGATTGAGAAACTTTGCCGATCAACGTACCCCGTACAATATAACACAGGAAAGTAGGTCTCGACGCCTTAGGAGCTTCGGACATGGCGCAGTAGTAAATGTCCATCTAAAGTCAGACTCATTTCCCGAGTTCGAAAGATTTCGCGGAGGAGCTAAGATGTCGTTACTTACTTTCAGGTTTAAAAGTTAAAGAAGAAGTTGAAGATTGTGTCGTACGTTCTCCTGGAGTTTATTTCTGTCTCCCAAATGTGAAAGGCAGTTTCTAAGTTCTGAGTGAAATTAGTTTTCCTAGAAATAAGCTACCAATTTTGAAGTTTAAGCGAGAAGCTATAGTTTCCTTCATTTAAATTGTTTTATTACTGCTTAGTAATTTTAGTGAATCTAGTTTTATATTAAATCATTTACTCCTATATAAAGATTCTTTATAATCTTATAGAGAAGATTAAAAAACCTGTGGAAAATTAATTTAAAGTTTAAACGCGATCTCATATTAATTAATATTTGGCGGCGGTAATTAACTTCAGCGTAACGTGGAATATTGAAAAAGTTTGAACCTTTAATTGAAATGATCAAGAATTACACTTAAATAACGAAATGAGCCATACATTGATTTTTATGTAAAAATAATTTTTATATCCTCTACGAAACGTATACATAAATATAAATGAATCGAACTATTCACGTTCACATGTTTGAAATTGCTATATTGCAAGGTTTGCCATAACACGACTTCTCCGCGATTTATATTCCTCAAAAAGACAGTTCATTCGCCACGTGTTCCTCAGAGAAACGCTTTTTCTTTCACCTCTTTCATCGAGATGCGCACGTGCATATTTTAGATTCAGAGTACCTATTTTCCATCCTTAAAGACATCTTATCGCGACGCTTGCTTTTTACTTCCACATGCACATACATACATTCATGAACGTACACCATACCCCAAGACTTCGGATTACCTAACGCTTTGCACTTTGAATATGTACAAATATTTTATATACATACACTCATCACCAAATCAGAATAGTCTGCATAAAATGGTATTAATTTACCACGAAGTGCATCATCCCTCTTTAAATATTATTAGCAAAGTTTCGTTAATCCGTTATTTGTTTGTGTGACTTACACGTGGTTCTATTTTTTACTAATAGAATTTTGAATTGAGAGCGATCCAACCGGATTTATTCCACTGAGACTTTTGAATCGTAGTGTATGTGCGAGGCAGAAGACGGGTTGTCGCAAATGTGATATCGAATTGCGTAGTCATACGTGAAGCCAGACGGATGACGCGTCGATCGCCCGAGGAAATTCAGATCGTCTTCGTGTAGCCGGGCCTGTCTACAAGATTTGCCCGCGAACGAGACGAGAAACGTGTGTGCCCGCGATCTGATCCTTCCCCGCGGAAGAATCTCGCGGAAGATTCCGTGATCCGGGCGGCGGAGGAGGAAATAAAAGCAGGGAATACAGAAAGAGAGAGGAAGGCCTCCGAGGTGGATTCGCGTTACGAAATCCGTCTGCGGAATACCCACGGTTATTTCGCGGTGTATACCCCCGAGATACGATGTTATCGCGCAGCAAACGTAGCGACAGTAATCGCCGGATAAGTTTCAGCCAGGAGGCAGGATTGTTAGCGAAGCGATAGTGTCGGGTCCTTGGACGATCCTAACATGCGCCAAGAGAGGATCCTGGCGCCGGCGTAGGATCGGGGATAAAACGAGACATAGATTAAATGTAACTCGGCGTTCCATGCGGATAATTAACGCCAGGAAACTGAAAATTGAGCCGCACAACTTTTGAATGGATTATTTACCCGTGTCGTGTAATTACACGTCGCGACGCGGCGCAGCGCCGCTGTGTTGGATTATAATTGGCCGGCTAGAGAAGTTGCTTCATTTGTTATAACTTCGCGGAAGAGCAATTTGTAATTCAAGTTTGGGAAGCGTGTTTCATAAATAGCATAAATCTTGAGCTTATAAAAAATTAAGCGTCTTTCTCAAGAGATTGAAATTAACTGTTTTAAAGCAGATGTACGTATGGGTTAGCTGCCCAGGGCTGTCCGGGGTCTTATTGTCAGACCGTCTACGTTAAAGAATATTCTGGTCAATGTCCCCGTCGCAAAGGGGAGAAGGTTACACGTGTCACGGTCTGATCGGTCGGCTCACGAAGACGGATAGAAGGGAAAATTTCACTCGGCCGTTCACTTCGCCTGTATTACCTTTTCCATAATTGATCAACCGATCGATAAACATTACTGTTTTGCTTCCAGGTCTCGATGCCGAGTTGTACTACGTTCGAGAAGGGGTGGTTAATACCTACGCGATGAACTTCGTCGTGCCTGTGGCCGCGAACATCGCGGACCTTGAATTCTCTTGGCAGAGTCTCGCTGGACATCCGGTGAGTCAAGGAATAAATGCACGTGTGTCAAATATTCAAATATTCTTTCTAAACTCTTTTTCATTTCGTTTAATGCGTAAAGTTTTCTATATTTTTTGCTTGCTGATAAAAAATCAGAGATTGAATCAATAATTTTCTAACATTAATGTAAAAATTAATTTAATTGTTAAATTATCAGCCAGTAGTTCTTTGAAATACAATAAACAGAAATTTTTTAAAAAACGGTAAAAGGAAATCTTGAGCTACATGGGAAACGGGTGTTCTTTCAAAACCACTCGCATGTATAATACGCTACTTTATTTTCTTCTGCTAATTAATCCGGAGCTAAATTTCCGGTTCCTTTTAAGGTAGAATATTTAGGTACACATAACCGGTGTAGACTCCGCACACCTTCAGCTTATTCATTACGATCTACGATCCCTTTACCTCTACCTCGGCTTGTATTTCCTAAAAGTGTACTATTCACTGCGGATGCAACTTGTAACTGGCGCATTCAGCAGTATAGTACTCCCCTGATAAATGCGCAAACAGCGGGACTCAAGCTAAAAACGCTACATTCTTTATACTTTGTCAACAACGTATAAACACACAAAACCATATCTTTATTTAGTCGCAAAATAGCGATGGTATGGAGTTAAGTCTTGCAGAGATTTGGGAAAATATGTAACAAACTAGGGTTTCGTACAACCACTAGAAGGATACTAAAATCACATTCATTTTCTGTTAACTAGAAACAGTGGTTCCTAAAAAATATTCTGTTTCATTCAAGAAAATGTCACAAGTATAATAAACAAATTTTGTGTTAGCAAAATGTATGGATATTCGATTCCGAATCATCAATATTATGCGTGTTCTTGAGATATTTCCAGTGGTAGGGACGGAACATGCATTTATTATAAAACTCTTTCATCGAGGAAGTATTGTATACGAGTTAGGAACTGTGCGACGATACACAGGAAAATGCTTGCATCGGCCATTAGTGAGGTGCAACAATGCGGAACAAAGTAAACACGTGACCCGACCGAAATGGTAGCTCACGGCATGCTCGTTTACGTGGCCGGGATCAGAGCGGGGCCGGGGGTGGAGGGTAGTAACGGACCGTCGCGATGCCTCACAGAGGGTGGTTCACGGGGGTCGAGTTTGTCGAGCGGAGGGGTTACAGGAAGGGCTGTATCAATACTCTATCAATATGAAATACAAACAGCCCGGTATTCGCGGCGGGAGAGAAAGGGTGGATGATATAAACCGTGCGGTTCGGTTTTGCGTTCCCTTCGGTCGCCAAGGAAACCGAACGAACGCGTCGCGTCCCACCGTCGAGGCTCTGCAAAATTGGAACAACGCCGAGGAAAACGCGAAAAGTCGCGGATCCATCTTCCGACCCTCCTTTCATCCCCACTTTCCTGCGTAACTGAATTGATGAAACCTATGACAGTCTTTTTCGTTCAAGTAAAATGACTCTTTCTTACAGCGTAGAAATACTGTGTCACTATTATAGATCTTATCTGATTCAAATGTATGTGTACATTTGTACTTAAATTACCTGCAATTATCTGGTAGAATTTTTAGAGAATATTTTATATCATTTCCTTTTATAGCAAATTATAATTGAATAGAGTTTCTATCAAAACTTTGTTCCTATTAATTTACGACGAGGCGCTATTCGACGTTATTACCGGACGTAATTGTTGGTTCAATGTCTTAAATGCCAAGCCCGCAACAAAGGACTTTGTTGATGAGGGATGAACAAGATGTTCTTGATAATTATTCTGAATTACATGGCTCGTGGAGTGACGGTGATCATCTAGCGAAATAGTGATTATCGTCCAACAATCTTATTCTCAACTACCATACTATTACGATGTACTTAATTAATTCTGTACTATGTGCTTAACTTGTAAATAAAAGTAGGATTTTATTTAGAGTACAATACGTCAAATACTAACGTACTATTTAGCAGCAAAAATGCATTTGCTCTAAACAACATTTCGGTGTAACGTCTTATCATGATGACAACAGCGTTGCATAGTAGAATTTGTTGAATTCACTCTCTGAAACTTCCTCGCAACGAAACGTCGATGAAGAGTGGCGTTACGTGTCGTTCTCAAGCAAAATTGCTCGGGTGCGTGTCGCTCGTCGTCGAAAGGGGTTATATATACGGGGCGAATACACGGCGGTTTTGGCGGCGCTTTATTGTCGCCGCGGGAACACCGCGGGACGATCCGCCTCATCCCGCGGGGAGCAGTTTCCATCCCTTCGTCTCGTTATCTCTTGGATTTCTCTGTAAGTTCGTTAACCGCGAAATCTCGCCGTTCTCACGGTCACGAAAACGCCGTTCCCGCCTTATCTTCTTCGCCCGAAGACAGTACCCGTGTCCCCTTTGCTTTCACCCGTGTAACTACGTATCCAGATAAGGAAAAATTGGTATTACCTCTATAGACCAATTCTCTTAATAGATGAATCCTAATTTCAGCTCGTAGGACTTTGTGGGACTTTCCTAATGAAAACGCCTGATTTCTATCTAATTACCTTTACTCATCCTTTTTCCATGATTATTGCCCATAAAATGCGTAGTAATTATATTACGTATATATGTATAAAAAAATATTAGGAGGGAATCGTAAGTATAAGTACTTTCCTATATAGCTTATTCGAATTCTCATAATAAAAGACTAAAACGGAAAACAGAACTTACTGAAAACAGATATGAGATAAAAGCTTCTCATCCTGCAAATGTAACCAAAAGAGAAAATAGAAGGCGGGAGAAAGAGAGAAAGAAAAATCCGGGAGACGATCACGAGCGATAATTTACATAGGAATTGCGCGGTACTATGGGATGGAAAATCCGATGGAATCCAAAATGCGATCATAGAAAATTGCTCGCTCGATGAAGCGAAACTTATTCGATCACCGCCAACGAAATGTTGCAAATTCGAGTCAAGATTTTCCGGTACAATGCGGACTTATCTCAATGTTTCAACATATTCATGGAAAATTGACCAATCTCAGTTACCTGCAACTGAACCGTTTACAAAATAATGCTTCTATATTCCCGAAGCAAAGTCGTGTCTAGGTCGAAACACTGTAACACAGTAAAAAAATAAATATATCGTTTATAATTCAGATACTACATAAATCATTATTCTTTCCTTTTATTTTTATAAACATAATTTTTATTATTCAATATAGAATTGGTATATTCAAGAAACATCAAATTGGGGAGGATGAATATGTATTTAAAAATTGTTAAATCTCAACTTCAGATGAACATTCATGATTTATCCAATATTCTGTCTCTCTAATTCTTTTCGTGAACAGGATTCTTGTTCGGAGTCCAGAGAACTGACTCATCGAATTATTTCGAGTCCCGTTTATCTCCGTTCTAGGATCAAACGAAAAGTCTCCGGGATTGCGCATCGCATCACCTAATCTGATCCGATCTGGAGCAGAAAAGTTCGATCGCGCCCTCGTGACTCACGACACTTTGTTTCTTTTATCTCTAGTGAACGATCAACCACGTGCACCGCGCAGCTCCGATTCGATGGCTTAGCTACGTCGATCCTTATCCGACATCGGTAAATGTACTTCTCGTTCGTTCGCTGCGGTTTCATCGTTGAAAACGCGATTAATAACGAGGCGACGTTCGCTGCTGATGCTTTCAGTTTCACCATGACCATGTGAAATGAAGTGTAAATGGGAATGGAAGTAGAGTGGAAATTATCACCGAAGATGCAAACCGTGTTTTATGCTTGATAAATTACCTGTCCTCTAGAAAATTGAGGAATAAGCAGAAAATGCGTGCAATGGGCGAAATGTAAAAAAGTATTACATTTATTTGCATAAAAATAATTGGATTATCCTGTGACCTTTAGTTAAAATAAAAGGAATAGGAAAAATAAGAAAAACAAGCTGACAAACAAATAAAAAGTGGGTCCGAATTTCATGCCACAGCACCCTCGATTAAGCATTTGATTCCTGGAACATCAAATCCCAGTCTCTCGCTTTTTATTCTCATCCATTTTTCCTGTCCTCCGGAAATCTGTTCATTTCTATTTTTTTGTTTTCGATTCACCGATTCGAACGAAAAGAAAGTTATTGGTTACCATGGACCGAGGCTATAGACTGGTACGAAGTTTCCAATTGGTGTGAGGCGACGGACACGGAATTGGGGATGATTTGTGAATCATCCACTTGTTAGGCGAAAGTTCGTCGCTACTTTTTCCCCCGAGCTAGGACTTCGAAGTGGGGTCCGCCACTCGCGTCGTCGGGACAAACGGTCCTAGAATTATGGGGAGTTCTCTCTCCATCTCTCTCTTCTCACTTGTTTCCATTACAGTTTTCACAGATTTCGAATATCCGTCGTTGATTGCTTTTCTTTACTTTCTCGGAAAGCAATTACGCTTTTTGCACTTAATCCTTTTCCGAAATCGTTCATTCTATAAATATCTAGTTTCTCCCCTTCCTTAGAATCTCGTTACTTCCCATTTAGTTTTTTCCTCAAATCGTCCTCATTTACCTTTCATTCCCGAGCTCACCATTCCTTTGTTTTTGTTTCACCATTAAATTGTTGATTCTTTTTCTGCTAGCTTAGTTCATTGTGCTCGTTTCTATCGTTTCAGTTCTAGTTTTCCGTCTCCCTTCGGGACCGGATAGCAATACGGGATTCGACGCAGGGGAGGGTTCGGTGCGGCCACCCCAGGGCGACAATTACTTGTAATACCGTCGGTCTCTCGGGACCGATGGGAACTCAATGGGACGCACTTTCGGTTGAAAAAAGGATATTACTGCCGCCTAGATCGACTCTACCCCATTGTCCGGAAGGGCGCGACCTGTCGCCCTTGTCTTATCGTTGTTTGACAGAACTGATCACCCACCAGAAGCCGTACTCGATTCGAATGCTCACTGTAATAAATTCACGCTTAATACGACCAGACGAAACCATTGTTACATAAGATAATTACACATATAATGATGCATGAAAAGTGAGGAATAAAATGTAATCA